ATCTGGCATCATCAACCTATTATACATACTACATCTGTCTACAGTAATCAAGCTGTTCTGCTTGCTTGGGACGAGTACAAACCCAATATGTATTTCATGAAATAATGCAATAATCGACTGACCAACAGCTCAAGTTGTGCGTTTTGTAAGGGGAACTTGGCAGCTACACTAACCACAGAAAACGTATACAGTAAATTAGTACCTTGCTAGCCATACACAGATACACAAAAACATTACCTGGCAGAAACACTTACTTCTTTCTTCTGGGTAGAAATTGTTTCACACACAATCCATTCATTCCTCTCTGCTGTTTTTGGCATCAGAATCCAACAAAAAAATACTGTCCAAAGTGAAACTGACGGCAGCAGAGCACCCAGGTTTCTGCTGGTCTTTATAGTCTCAGCTACTGTGGCAGCTGGAGTGGCACCCTGAGCTTCTGGCTCTCTTGTTCCAATGCTACACTGGACTCATACATGTACTCTTTGACTCATTGCATTTTATGAAATATTCTATCCACAGTTTTGCTTATATTAGGACAAAAGATTTCATTGTTATTTTTCACTGTAAACCTGCACTAGGAAACAGTATCTATCCGTAGGTCTCACCCTGTGCTGCTGCTGCTGTTGTTGTTGTTATTTTTTTTATTGCTACTGCAGCAAACTTGATTGCCCCTCGGGGACAAATAAAGATTGTGAACTTGAATAATCTTTGTTTGCATTTTGTCCATTTGTGCTCTTACCTGGTCTTGGCAAAGCTGTTGCCCTCATCCTCAAACACCGACAGGACGTCGGCAAAGGAGGGGATGGCAGGAGTATCCACGGGAATGTCGACATAACCATGGGGCCTATAGTTGAGCAGAGGGACCTAAGAACGAAACATGGACGCGGAGGGTCACACACTGCGATGTAGACTGCATGGCTAATAATAGACAATTGCATAAGTTATTAATTAAATCAAATATAGTAACTGATGGCTTAAATTGTGTCAAAATGCAAATGTGATTTTGCAGAAGTAAGAGGATGGGGCAAAAACTGAATGTCTTGTTTCAGGTTGAAACAAAAAAAGTTTACACAGGCGCCGGGTTAGCTCAGTGGGTAGAGCTGGCGACCCATGTACTGAGGCTGAGTCCTTGCTGCAGCGGCCCAGGGTTCGGATCCGACCTGCGGCCCTTTGCTGCGTGTCATCCCCACTCTCTCTACCCACTTTTCCTGTCTATCTTTGGCTGTCCCTATCAAATAAAGGCAATATAAAGGCCAAAAAAAAAAGTTTACACATTACAAATACACTTTAGCTCTACTAAATACCGCATACAGTTTTGCTTTTGTTTAGGAAGTACTATGTGACAAACATAATTTGAATCGGGTTATATTTTGTCTTTATCAATGTTAGCTATTAGCTATCAAAAAGCACATAGTTGTATTTGACCAATTAAAGACTAATATCATCATCAATATCATAATAATGATGAGTGATTTTAAGTGAGTCCGTTAGAAAACAGTAGTGATGGTACCTCAAAGTGGACCCGCGGTGTAGGTTCCAGTGGGAGGTTGGTCCCAATCATCCGCACAATGCTGCGATACTGACCGCACAGCTGACTGTCCCACACTGGAACCAGCTACAGGCAAGATGGCACACACAAACACACAAAAACAACCTTGGTTGAAAATTGCCGTCCTTACAAATTTACTAGTGAAGTAACAATACTGGTGACTTTACAGCAAACAACTGCCATGCCCCTTGATATCCCTGGATCGCAGTTTAAAAATTAGTAACATCATGTTACTAATGTAGCACATGTAGCACATGTGTGTGTGTGCACTGAACTCACCATGTCTGGAGCAACTCCAAAGTACTCTAGGACAATACGCAGCACATCCAGGATATCCTCCACTAAAGACATTGCAGACAAGGACTTTTTCATGCACCAGCTGATGACTGCAAAGCAGCTTTTTCTGCTGACTGACTTGATAAGACGCCAACACAGAATAGTTGCCACTCAGTCACATACTTTACACCTGAAACGAAACAAAACATACAACACTTAATGCTATAAAAGAGAACCACTGAAAGTCAGTACTTGAAAGACCACAAATCAAGCCAGAAATGTAGTGTAGTTATAGTCTCCAAATCAGACTACTGTCACCTGATATGTGATATTGTGTACTGTGATAAAAACATTTCCATTATCGTAATAAACGTGAATATCCTCACATGGCTTGACTTGACAAAGCTGTGTAGCTCGCCAGCATACAGTCCTATATTGATTTCTGGATTTATTTTGAACAAGGGCACAAGAGGGCTCCCTCTTTCTCCAAAATCCTTACCCTGTCACCATGGCTTGGCTTGCCCGTTGTATCCCCCACATAAAAAATACTACTAGATGTGTGGAAATAAAATAGATTCTAAAATAAAGAAGAAGAAGATAAGGTGGCTATCTGTGATGCAATAAGTATGTGTTTCTTAACAGAATGTGAGGTTAAGTGATTCCAGTATGTTTTAGTGAACCTATATGCAAGTATGAAGCATATTGTTAGGGTTTTCTTGATATCTTGTATTTGTCTCTTTTATTTTGTTATTTAATGTGCATTTCTTTTTTCTTATCTGCTATGTTATATCTGGAGCTGCTGTAACAAGTGCATTTCCCCAGTGTGGGATCAATAAAGTTTATCTTATCTTATCTTAATATTGTGTATCACAATGAGTTTGGCCAAAATGTCCATATTGTGCAATGCCTGATGATAACATCCAGCTAAATGTATGAATTTAACAAGCCTCTCATGAAGCTGCACTGTAAGTTGGTGATGATGTAATAATATAACGGCTGCAAGCACAGAAAACACCCACTGTGGTTTTAATCAGGACATTTTCAGAGTTGGAGGCGCTAAATTCAAATTAAACTACTCAATGTCATACGGATCCTGGACTCCATTATTGCATTACAACTGTTAAGTGAAGTGTCACCTGGTGGCATCACACACTGATGCTCAGGGAGCCAGTTTTCTCCCTCTGTACCGATGAACGCTGACTCGGCTGTAACGTTACAATCGCACTGGATGTGCACGGTTTAAAGGTTTAAAGTGGATTTTAGTTTGAACCTAAAAAGGAGTAACCTTCTGCTGAGGACAGCGCAGGTAGCCCGCACAGGAACCGCAGTGTGTCCCCTCTGAAGCTGCGTGGCTCATCAAAAGTAAAAATGCGCGACGCCAGGAAACATGCGGGATAAGCGGAAATATGTGTGCACTTACCTCGGACTCGTTGTCTTGTCGAAACGTCAATTAGCAGCTACACTCGTCCGCAATTCTCCATGATAAGCAATGTTATAAAGTGAAACTGCAGATAAACACTAGCGTTGAGAACTTGCAGCTTCCCCTCGAGCTCACGCATCCAGGCAGCAAAGGCTGTAAAGTCAAATAAAGCCGCAGCAACAAAACCTCCTCTGATTGGCTGTAAATGCAGAACGAGCATGAGGAGCCAATGGGAGTGGGCGACCGAGCAGTGTAGGCAACTGCTGGTTGACCAATGGCATGTGAGGAAATCTGCCCAGCACCAAGTTTGTATTTGTACACGAGCGTCTTGTTGTCCCGGGTAAGAAAACACCGAAAAACTTCACCTAAACAGAATTTATTGTACCTTCAACGCGTTTATAGTATTAGTACTTGTGACAACGACACGATTTAAAGTTAAAAAATGTTGTTTTATTTTGAAAATCGGCCAGCTGCCTCACGTTTCAAAAGTAGCTAACAGTTAGCTTCTTTAGCTCACCGGCCACAACGGTAACGCTCGCGCTTCTATTTGAGCGTTTGAACGTTTATAAACTAACCTTGAGAGATCGTAACATATCTAAAAACAACCAGTTAGATCTAGTTAACGTCCTCTGGGTTCATACTTTACATGTTTTTATCGAGCATGGCTTTAACGTTAACCTTTAAAGTCCGTCACTCGCTTCGCTGAATGGCGTTGCCTCTCAGTTTCAGGTGTGCTGAAGTTAACGAAGATGATGGACGCACTGTCGGTGGTGAGTCAGCTGCGGGACCTGGCTTCTGAGCCGCAGAACCGAGAGGTGATCGTCCAGGACCAGGGCTGTCTCCCCGGGCTGGTTCTCTTCCTGGACCACCAGAATCCAGACGTGCTGTTTGCAACTCTCCAGGTGGGTGAAAGAGGCAGGACAGCTGTGGTGAAGTGCTGTAACTCCTGCTAACTCTTCACTGACGGCCGATGAATTAGTTTTTATTATTGTCTTTAATGTGATGTTACTACTGGTGAGACTGTTTGAATTTTTGATGCTGCAACATCTGTAATTTGAGAGTTCATCTCACATAAACTAACACTAAATGTTCACTCTTATGGATAATCAAAATCAAGCAGGTTTCTAGTCTCTGAAATGTATTTACATACCTTACTTAAAAAAATTGAAAACTTATGGCTTGTATAAAAACTTTAAATATGAAATAAGACAACACTTCAGAGCACCTTGTGTAATAGGTAGTTCTAACATAGCTGGGTGAGCATGTTTGCACACATGTAGTGTACATTTTAATCCCTGTTCTGTCTTCCTTTGTCCTCAGACCCTGCGTTACTTGGCTGAGTTGTCCCCCAACATCCCCACCATGAAGAATGAACTGGGTATGATGGTGAGCTTGGAGAATCTCGTTGGGAGGTGAGGGGATTTTACACGATCTTGGTGACTCGTGCCAGATGTGCACTCGTGTTTTCCTGAACTGTCTGTATTTTATTGCATGTTTATGTGATTGGACCTGAAACTTTCAATGATACTTGCTTGAACTGTCAACTGTGTCTGTGTCTGTAACCAGGCTACATTAAATCTGATATGTGTCCATATAGGGAGGGCCTGTCTGTTGATATCACTTCATTGGCTCAGGAGGTGTTGGACATTCTGAGCGCACCTGCTAATCCTGTGCCACGCACACCTGAGAGGGAGAGGAGAAAGAAATCCCAGTTCTTCATCAACTCCTCCAACAAGAAGGCCAAGTCTGTCACTCTGCACATCCAGGGGCTCGACAGCACTGTGAGTAGGCTGACGCGCACACACACACACACACACACACTCCTTGCATGACAGTAGCGGTTGTTGTTATTCCCAGAAAATGAACTAATACAGTCTCCCTCGATTATCAAGGACCAGCGAGGCTTGTGTGAGCAGGCTCTTCTGAAGATCAGAGGAGTGATCAGCTTCACCTTCCAGATGGCTTCCAAGAGATGCACCGTCCGCATCCGTTCAGACCTGCCCACTGAGGTAACACACACACACACACACACACACACACACGACATTTATTATCAGTGTCAGCTCAAGAAGCTACTGGTCTGTTAAAATGTGAGTTTATCCCTCTAGTCATATTCAACATTTGTGTTATTGGATTGTTAAAGCCACTGATACACACACACACACACACACACAATGCATGAATGTGGAGGGGGAAAAAGTAGATCTGATCTCTGGTTGATTAATTCCAGTCACCTCCTCCTCTGATTTTCCTAATTTGCAGAGTCTGGCATCGGCCATTGCTGCCACTAAGGTGTTGTCAGCCCAACAGGTGGTGAAGAATGAGGCAGGAGAAGAGGTGAGTAGTGCTCATAGAGCATGCCTTTTGACTGTTAAAGACTTAACCGTTATATAACTATTTTATCCAGGGGGAGAATAAACCCATAACTGTGGAACTGTATTCACGCTGAACTTTCAACGTCTCGCTTCAGGTTTTTATCCCTTTGAGCTCATCTGGAGTGGAGGTGCAGCAAAACTCGGCTATACCAGACTACCTCCCCGAGGACGACAGCCCAGAGAGAGAGGTTGACCGAGCAATTTCCCGCACAACAGCGAAGGAAGATTCTAGTGGAAGCTGGCTCAACACTGCCGCCAGCTTCCTCACCAAAACCTTCTACTGGTGAAACCGGTGCAGTTTGATTCCTGGAGATGCAGTGATGCAAAGTTGTGTTATAAGAATTCCCCTACTGCTGTGTGTTACTGGAGTGGACATTACTGGATGTTTACACATCGCAGGCCAACATCCTGGCTACGTGTGAATGGTCTGAATTTCACCAACTTGCCATTAATTCTTCTGAAAAACTACTTCTCCTTTTACCTCTGTGGTGCTTACTTAGTGGATTGGAGGCACACACACACTTGAAAAAAATATTTTGTCTCTGGAATGCTGTTTTCTATACAGGATTCCTATTAAATGTAAATATTTTCTGTCTGACTTTTCAAACTGTCCATTTTCTATCTGCGTGTAAAATAAAAAAAAAAGTGCTACTTTTCTATACAGTTGGGTAAAGTATTTATGTATATCCTGCTGTTTGTTGGTAGTTGTATTTTATGCTAAAATAAAACTACAAAGTATTCAATGTGCACTGTGAATTTCCCCATTATTTTTCTGTATTTGGATAAAGGATGACAATCATTGCACACATAGCACATCAGCGAATAGGTAATCAATTCAAAAAGTTTTATTTACTTGCGAAACAGTACGGCTGCAAGAGTTGTACAGTGATTTCATTTTTACAGTGGTTCAACGATCTCATCCACAGCCCCTCTTCTGATGTAAAGGGCTTGGTAATTTTCAAAGCCTCGTCAGTCTTAGTAAAATATATCAACTTTTAAACATAATTTATAGGATATCTATGTATAATGTCATTTACAAGTGATTTTGCTTCTGTTTAAGCAATGCATTTTTCAAGTTACCATGTTGATAACGTATAATGCTATGCACTGGCAGAAACCAGCATACATAACCAAAGACATGGTTAATCCTTCTGAAGTTTCCCTCCATTTTGGTAGAACGGCAAGATTTGAACATGAAGAGGAAACTAAGTGCAAAGGTTTCAGAACAGAATACGAAGAAAGATGAGAAAAGATGGACTATCACAGAAGTGTAATGTTTGGGTTGCAGGGTTTTACTTGAATCCCTGTCATGAAAACCTGTATGAACATGACATTATAGCTCTTGTATGATGATAAAACAGACAGCATTTTTAGCATGATCTTTCATACTTTTAACATATCAAGAAAAGAAAGCCACTGGAGATTACGGGCGTGGCCAGAATGCCATACTGGGAATGCGTATATCTTCATTTCAGTAAGGATGAGTACAGTCAAGTCACCTCATTCTTCATACGATGCGGTAAGGCAAAGGAACATCAAAATAAGCAGCATTTCTTCTTAAATCCTTCATCAAAAAGATCAGATCTGCAGAATTAACAATAATTCATAATTATTTTAATCCATTTTGTACTTTGGCCAAAACAAAAGTTAACCACCAACACAAGGCGGCTAAGCTACAGTGGAGTCCTCCAACACTGCCCACCAGGTTACACGGTGCGACAGGACGTAGCATGCAGCATTGACAAATGAAAGGGAAAGACTTGACGTCAAAGCTGATTCTTTTTTTTTCTCAATTTGAGCAGAAAGTAAGGATGAGGACGAAACAAAGAATCACATTTTTATCTGTACAGCAATTAAATAAAACTAAACAAAAAATCATTAGTTTACAACCTAATTATCAACTGAGACAGTATTTTCATTTTCTTATTATTTAACTCAAACTCCATGATGCTCCAACGCCCCTGCCTCACCCCAGTAATAACCTCCAGTCTTAAGCACTGTAGACACAGCAAAAATATATTACATGACGTGAACTTTCCTGTAGTCTTAATACAACTTCATGCACTGATATCACACCTACATCCCATCTCTTGTGTAACATTTCAGTAGAAATGTTGAAACATGACAATTCTAAGATTCAGGATAAAGAGAGGAAATGCATTAATGAGACCTTGTAATTCGGAGCCTGTTGTGAGAGTTCCAGTTATAAACGTCACTGATTTTGTCAGTCTGATTACAGTGTGTTCTACAGCGACAGAAAAAAAAAAAAAAAAAAACTCTTCAAGTATCAGGGCTGAAGACTTTACAGCTGATCTCAGTTTACATTATTATTAGTCTCTCATTCACACACACAGAAACGCACACATCACAAGAGAGTCACAAGGTGGAATAGGCCTTCAAAGCCCTCTTGTGATTTCAGGATTTTTGCTTCAGAATGAGGGGTAGTTGGGGCTGTACACGGAACATTATGACCGAGTGTAATCATAGTCGGAGACAGGGAGACGGATCTGTCCCCCATAGAGTTTGTTGAGGGACGAGTAACTTCTCTCTGGAGATGCTTTAGGTAGATCTTTGGAGACACCATCTTTGGGAAATGGCTTCAGTGCTCTTCTGTCGTGGGGAGGGTGACAAAGTAAACCTCGGGGAGGGTCTTGGCTGTGATGCTGCGACTCCTTCCTTTGATTTAGTCCAACAGCTCTGTGTTACCTCTCTCTGGCCGTCTCACTTCCTGTCTCTCTAGGCGTGGAATCATCTCGGTCTATCGGGGCATCAGGCAACATCTGAAAACAGCAACAGAGAAAAACGCCAGCTGAAAAACTGTATGCGCTGAAGCTACTTAGTCCAGCACATTAAAGTTACATAACCTGTACCTCCTCTTTTACTAGCTGCAATGTTTTAACCTGGTCTGATGGTCTTGTCTTAAAATTGAACACTGACTAGTATTTTAAGTTGCTCTGGATAGCACCATCTGCCAAATTTCACAAATGTAAATTTAAATGTAAATGAAGCCAACTGCCCATTTCAGCTAACAATGGAGGTACAGTGTGTGAAGCTCAAAGTAAGAAAAACGACAGATGAAGACCAGGAGGAGATACAGCGAAGAAATAAAAGTAAAAGCCACACACAGTTAGAAAACAGGAAATGTGTGATAAACTTGCACTTGTCATGTGAGAAGCAGTAAAACAAAGGTTTAAGTCTATTGAGTCAATGCAGCAGAGGCTGAGGTGTCTTCATTTTCAGTCTTTAGTACGGGTGATGCTCCAGAGAAGTTTGATCCTACATTTCCTTAATATTGTTTGATTAGATCCTCCATGTGATTAGACACACATCAACACACCAGAAATGTCTATTGCAGGTTTTCTAACAAAAATGATAAGTCTCAAGCTCACTCCAAGATATTTTCACAAACTCTGGAAAGCTCCTTTCAGAACCACAGTAGACAAAATACAAAGATTTTCACAGGCTCAGTAGTAACTCACACCAAAAGCTAAACACAGTGAGCGGCATCCTCTGTAAATATATCAAGAGAATAAATGAATGATGATGAAAATTAATAGAAGCAAGTGCAGAAAGAGGATGCTTATAGACCTGGTCCTTGCTGGGCTGATATATCCTCTATTCCACTTAGGGGCTTTAGGAGACCGTTCTCCCGGAAGGCTACGACAGGAACTCTCTCTTCCTCCTCCTGCTGCTGCTCCTCTCCCTCAGGAGGAGACAACCTGGAATGTGAAGGCAGAACAATCACCTCCTCAAACTCCCCGTTCTCCCTGGAAAAACAAAGGATACAAAGGAGAATGATTCAAAATGTTGCCCTCACTACAGTAATGGATTAATGTGAAGATTTGCATAACATTTACGTCTGGTCAGGACGGCTCAGTGCGGTGGGGTTGGGGTCTGGGTTGGGGTCAGGTTGGCGACCGTTGCCGTTGCTATTGTGTGCCGGTGACACAGTCACTGCAGATGGACTAGGAGCTGCTAAAGATAAGAGAAAACCAACACAGCATTCAGAACGACTAGAGTGGATATATGACACAGGAACAAAAGTAATAATTCTGCAGTCATTTATCAAAATAATGGAAGAATGTAGAAATGTATGATTATAGAATACATTAGTTACCTGCATTGTCTCCATTCCTGTTAGGAACAACTTTCTAGAGATGGGAAAGAATAGAAAGACAATGAATACTCAAGAACAACATAGACTATTCATGGTTAGTCAGATATGGTATTTCTCTTAGCCGTTACCTTCTCTGCTGTGTCTGAACGTCTTGTTCTCTTCATGATCTCCTCCAGACGCTGATGGAAAGAAGAGTTTTACTTGCACTGTGCATGAGGAATAATATGAAATATTACATATGTGCGTGAACATGCATCACCTTTTTCCTCTCCAGGCGTTCAGCCTCCTCTTTCTGGAAGTGTTTCTCTCTCTCCTGCCTCAGTCGCTCTGCCTCCTCTCTCTGTCGAGACTCTTCCTCCTCTTTCTAACACACACACACACACACACACACACACGCTTTTATTTTATTGTGAGACTGACAGACTTCTAGGGTGGGTCTGCCAAGTTCACTTATACACTTTCTCTGACCTGTCTCTCTGCCTCCTCTCTCTCTTTCTGTAGTCTCTCTTCCTCCTCCTTTCTCTCCTCTTCCTCCTTTCTTCTTCTCTCCTCCGCCTGACGTTGAGCCTCCTCCTCTCTCTTTGCTCGCTCTTCTGCCTTACGGCGAGCCATCTCCTCCTTCGCTAACCTGTACAGACACGGAAATGAATCACAGTCAAGGATGTAGATATACACACCAGTATTATCCAACTCCTTGCACTCTCACACATTTTGACATGTAGCACAGTCAGCGTACCTCGCCTGTTCCTCCTGTTGCCTGCGCTCCTCTTCCTCTTTCTCTCTTTGCTCGCGGGCCAGTCGACGATTCTCAGCCATGATACGACTCGCCTCCTCTGGATCTGTGGTGCCTGCTGAGGGCTTGTAGGCTGGAGGACTGCTTACACTCTCTAGAAAGCATTTTAATTTAAATTATATATATTGATAATCTAACAAACAGCAGTTTCCATTCCCAGCTTATTCAGCCAGTAAAAACTGTGATAATAGCACTTTAGGTGTTAGAAAGTGGTAACTGACCGCTGGCTGCTGCTGGTGTCTGCTCACTGTTGGTCTTGTTCTGACCTAGTGGCTGGGGTCGAGGCTGAGGAGGACTGAGGACCTGCTCTTTCTCCTCCCCTTCGTGAGCTCTGGTGGGTTGAGGGATTTCGGGTGTGATCCTGAAAGGTCGAAGATTTCCAGGGTCGTCTGGCCCCGGAGACTTCAACAGTTTGGGGGTCGGGGGCCGCCCTGCTGACTTTTGTGGAGGCCTGTGTGCAGGAAGGAGATGAGCATTTGGCTACAAATTACTGGCCAAAATAGTTTTCATGGAACTTTGTTATCTTACCTTTATTCAACAGTAGTAAAATAAGCTCAGCATGAAAAAAACAGTCACATATATACTTGCCCAAAACCTTGCAAAGCTGTGACACCCTCTTCCTGCTGTCACAAATCTGCTTATGTACCTCATTTAGTCAGCTCTCATAGGCGCGTTCTCCTACCTGCCAGGAGAGGGTGCTGTCACTTTGCTGTTCTTCTTGCCTGGGGAGGAGGAGTGCTTGTTGGGGGGCAAAGTCAATATGGGAGCCAATGGGAGTGACAGATTGCTCCATGACTTCCTGACATTATCCCGGTCCTTATGCTATTTGTGCAGGAGATGGAGGGAAACAAAGAGATGAAAGATTACTATTCAAAATGGACAGGATGTCTCTTCATTGAAGTGTCCTACGCAACACAATAAGTAATCAGGTAGTACAGAAGGTGCCCAGATTCAGGTGCCCTACTAACGGTAGAGGAAGATGATCAGTAACAGGATTAGACTCAGACATCCTTCCTTTGGCTGTGCATAACCTCTGGCACCAAGCAGTGACACTACCATAAAAAAACCCTACTGTAACTGCCAGAATTAAAAAGTCAACCTTTTCTCACTCAGACCCACTCACAAGATATTTATGATCTCCTTTTTGCAGAGAAGGCAAAAACGATTGTAGTTTGATGTGAAGGGAACCAAACCCTCACTCACGTTAATACTAACCTACAGTACACTGTGCCTAGACATTATGGCACATGAGTGGTATGAGTGGTATAACTGGTATATCACAGGTATGCTGGATGGGCTCTAGATTATGAATGTGTTTGTGTGGTCACTGTGTGGAATAGAAAGTACAGAAGATGTCCTCCTTCTAAGACCTTAATGGAATAAGCTGCGACACAGCAGCAGACAGATGGACAGTGGGTACAGTGGTGTGTGAGTGTAAGGAGCAGAGCAATACAGATACTCTGATATATTGTGTCTGACTGATCTGGGACATCATCAACATGAAAATGATGAACAAGAGGAAAGGAGCAAAAAGCACCACAGTTGCGCATGCACAGGCTCACAGAGACAATCTGTCAACATCAAGATCAGATATTTAAAGCAGATAAAATCAAGGAGGTTATAAGATAAGGTTAAATTATTTTTACATTATCAAAATACTCAGTCAAACGTAGGTGCAGGTTGATGACTTAACCCACCTGTGGGGCGCCGATGGTCCTCCTGCGGGCAGTCTTGGAGGAAGACGAGGCCGTCTCCCTGCTAAGGTTTCTCTCATGGCTGCGGCAGTGAGGAAGTGGCTGGGCCTGCAGGGCCTTGAAGGACATGGAGCCCATGGGGTGGCAGGACACTGAGCGAGGACACACAGGCATGGCTACGGTAATGTACGAGGTGGGAGTTCGGAGCGTTTTGAGGAAGGTAATGATCAGGGCAGTGTGAGGATTTATGGAACGTCAGAGTGTGAGGGTTTGATAAACAGGAGAACAGAGCAGGAGATCGGGAAAGAGGCAGGAATGACAAGGATGTCAGAGGAATTAATAAATGGAAGCCGTGCGTTTGGTAGGACCAGCGGAGGATTGAGAGGAATGAAAAGAAGATGTTTGGTAGAAACAGAGAAGAAGAAAAAGAAGGCATTAGTGCTACTGACTGGAAGCCCAACAACTATACAAGCTAATATACTGCAACCATCACTTGGGAATTGTAGGTCAAACAAATTAACGTTGTGTTTTAAGAGAAGTATTTAGTAGGGTTGACTGGTCAGGTTAAAGACTGGGAAAATGTTGTTTTGCCAACTTTAAAAACCACAACACAATATGAAAAATGTTCCATTCACTTTGTGCTATATTACTTCTTTAAGGCATCTAGATAGGAGTGGTTTGGAAAATCAATTCTCACTCTAAAAACTCCCAGTGGTGGAAGCATCTCTACTTTGTCATTCAGTCAGACTAAAATACTAATAATGGATGCATTAGACACCGACACCACACAGACGTGAGCATGCAGCAAAATACACAAAACATACGCAAGAAGTGCAACTTTACACACTGCAGACAGTCTTCAATATATACATGCGCAGGTTACAGAAAGACAAACGATTGTGTTGTGTGAGTAAATGTGAGTGTGATCTTGTGTAGTGTATGAGTGTGATTATTCCAAAAAACACACAAGAAAAACAAACTTCCTTTAAACAATGGAAACCGGTAGAAAGGTAGATTTGGTTGAAAACAGACACACAGTCACACACACACACAAAGTATCTAAAGTCATTGTTGCCATGGTAACAATAGAGGGAGACAGGGAATGATATCAATAGGGGAATACTTCCTGAACAGCTTACTTGTTTATACCACTGTGTGTGTGTGTGTGCGTTGTTGTGTGTGTGTGTGTGTGGTGTGTCGTGTGTCTGGTGTGTGTGTGTGGTGTGTGTGTGTGTGCTGCTCACAGTAGAATTTAGTTAAGGTTTTTCGGAGGCCAAACAAGACCCCCTGGCTTTTCCACAATCATCTTTGCATGTCCAATATGCAGAATGTGCGGTGTGTTGTGTGCAGCTTGTGAGTGTGATACTAGGTGTCGAATGTGGCAGTTAAAGGGCAGTTCAGCACAGCAGACGTAGTCTGCCTTGCCTAAAGCCGGTCTAAAGCACTTCTTCCCTCGTGACTGTTACGGCTACTGTATTTTTAGCACGTGGCACTAGCATGCTCTGCAGTTGAGTGTGCATACAGGTTTTGTGCCGCTCGTTAGTTATAGCCAATCAAGGGTAATATATTGGTAACCAAATTCCACAGAGAACCTAGTTGCACTAAGTGGAAGCCTAAACGGACCAAGGGACCTAATCTTTTTGCTCAGCTGTAAGTACAGGTAATACGCCAGTCCATTTCTCAGTTTAACATGAGATGAACGCTCAGTGTGATGTGTGCGTGCGTGTGTTGCTCAGCCATGTGAAGGCACCTTCATCTGTGTATTGCACTAATGTTTAGAGTACCCGAACCGGTTCTTGGTATACTTACCAGAGAAATCACATAATTTTCCATCCATTGTTATACTGACGGAATGCCACAAGGTTCTGTAATGATCGAACAATGGCCAAACGCTATGGGGACAAAAAAGACACCCTGGAAATTTGTTTTTTAAAAGAGCCTTTAAGTACTGTATGATTGCAATTTGCACAAACACATAATACAGACAGAGAATTGTTATAAAAAGTTCTCCCTGAGAACAAGGTGAGAATCAGCCAAAATAGAATCATTCCAAAAAGTGACCATTGTTTTGACACAAAAGCTCTTTTGGTGATTCCCTCCCTCTTTGTGTTATCGTTGCTACTGTGCTTCTGGGTTCCCATTGTACAGTTTTGAGACACTTGTAATTATGAAATCTGTCACTTAAGTCATAAACGAAATTAAGAAAAGGGCTCCCTTAAGCCAATAACATTTCCCCCAATGGTTTTGTTTAGGGAAACCACAGCCCCTAGTGGGTCCCATCCCCTGGGTACCTGGTAAAAATGACGCACTCCAGGAGTACTGGCGTCTGGGCTTCTGTATTAATGGGCTGTGAACTGTGTGATTAACAGCATTAAATAAATAGGTGGTATATACACCTGGTGTCGGGGTTTTTTAGGTAATTATATGTCCTGAATCGCCATTCCCCCAACTTTCTGATACAGAAGGTATCAAGTGTTTGACCTGCAGTGTTGCTTAGACCAATGGACTCGAGCGACTGTTGTTCTGCTGTGCTTTGCTCACGAGCCAAAATGGCCATGGTCTTTGCAACAAGTATATTTCGGTGGCACTTTCAGTTCGCGAGAAAACTTGGTGTTATGGAATTTAGGTGTAATTCGCTGTAGATTTAATTCAAACCCCAGAATCCAGAATACCGCACCTGACACTCACAAGGCCCAAGATGCATCTTCTTCGTCTCTGGTCTTTCTCATTATGGTCTTGATGTTTTGGAACCCTCAAACCTCTTTCTGCTTCAACTTTGTCTTCCGACTCATGACAGTTTGTTTAATAACCCATTTTGCATCTGTTTTACATTTTAAGGGGCAATGTCAAATAACATGCGTAACTGATATGTATTTTAGTCAAGGATCGGAGAAACCGTGTTGCAATACTTGAGGCATCTACCTTTGGAACTGTGAAAGCTGAGGCGGTACCACCTGATTAGCAAAGTATCTACAAGCTTACTTTACACGAGTAATCAAAATATAGATTGGTGCATGTACAGTATTAGAGGACGCCTTCGAGGTGTTGATAACGATAAAACTATGTCAGCATGAGGTAACCGCAAGAACCTGACCTTGCGTTTAAAGCTGTGACCAAAGTTATGTAAATAAGTGTCTTGGCAACTTACATGTTTCTTCTCCTCATGACATTAACAAGAGAAAGTCAGTCCATGTCACTTTCAGTGTCTTAGTACACATTGTCAACACACCATTAATATCCCAGACTTGAAAATGAGTGGATTAGCCTGTTTTCAAAAATCCATACACGCGTGTATCAAGTTGTGGATAAATATTAGGACAGTTACTTGGCCATATCATGACTTTTGCACCATCCCACCCAACCCTGCCCCCCTGCCCCATCAACTGCTCACCCATCCACCGTCTTTCCTACAGGAAAAGCCTTGAGTGTTTTACACAAAGCTAAGAACGATATTGTACAGGACACTAAATTGGTATCAACAGCCCACTCTGTATAGATGTGGAAGGATCATTGTCATGCCAGAGTAGCAACACTGACAGCACTATTTGCCAAATGTTAACACACACTTCAACTCTTCACAGACACTTCCTGTGTGTTGTGTCTAAGCGGGAAACTTGATAAGCTGTTTAAACTCAAACAGCCAACATCTCACCAGGGGTTTGTGCGTGCACTTGTTTTAACCATGTAATAAGAGGCAATTGAGTCTAGGGTAGAGCTTAATATAAAACGCAAATCGTTGCTAATATTCTATCCACCTCTGCAAAATAAAGGGAAAAAAGTGGATGTATTGAACATCTCTGACGTGCTGACTTCTGCACCAAAGTACCTGTTGAGTGTTACCTACTTGAGTGAAGGTTTACAAAAATATACTGGACGGCTCAAACATTTCCGGTGAAGCACACCAAGAGCAAACACAGGTGCATTCAGGAAACAGGTGGAGGAAAGAAATTTTGGCGAGCACTAAAATGACTTTAAGTCTTATTTGACCTTCCAAGAGAGAACTATTAATCGCTAGGCGTCGAATTAAGACGATTGTCTAAGGATGTTAAATGTGTGAAAGAGAATTGCTGAGGATTGGACTTTTCACAATATATGGAAATGCACAGAGGATTGCCCAATACTGTTATGTATAAAAAATAGTCATATGCTATCGAGATTCTATAGTATCCTGGTTGGTGATTACGAGCCCCAAACATGTCCCTGAAAGTGATCCGGCCTGGTATGGATAATCCCCTGTGTGACGTGCAGGGAGTTATCGATTGACCTGCAGCTGGACCACGCACTGGGTCTGATGTGGAGGGTGTGGTGGATTTTCAGTGCAGCTGTCTGAAAATGTACCCTGATGGGGGGGTGCATGAAAGGTTTATTTAATTACAATTGTAAGCAACAATGGATGATGCGATAGTCACTAGAGCTACAAGGCTAATATCCATTGGTTGAAACTTATCGTGAACAGGGAAATGCTCACAGAAGCTGATTTGAGCTGGAGCACAAAAAAACAAGAAAGCACTAATCAGATAGGAGACAAATTCAAAACCAGCCAGGACCCAGGGTTTTGGTAAATGATTTTTCTTTCAGCTGTATATGTGGTATTACCAGCTTAGCCCTTCCATGGCTTTACCAGCGACTAGCACCTACTATCAGGAGACCACCCAAGAACACAAGAAAGACTAAGATAAATCAGGATCGGAATAAGGCCCCTCATCCGAAGTCCCTCTTCTCAGATAGAAACATCTGCTGCATTCGAGCCCTGGTTTCATTCATTTGTCCATCATTCGCTCCAACAAAGAAAGTGGTGATTACATTTGACGCAAGCAGCAACCAGAACCTTCGTCACGTCGGACTATCGTCCCGCCGCTAGTGTCATGCGTAATAGGAGTCGCTGTTATATTGAGCAGGAACGACCTTAGCGATGTGATACACACCAATAACAAACCTGGCCGATGAAATAACGGAACCCCATAGCCTGTGATTGTAGACAGACAGATGGAGTAATCCGGTTGTTGATTGTAATTTTTGTCGATATGGTTCTTACAAACTAGCCTTTAATTTACAAAATGAATGAGTTGGTAGCCCTAGCTGTATCCTAACCTCACCTAGTTTAATATAAAGAAAATTCGTTGGTTCCCTATAGGTTCTTCAGTCGCTGAGT